ATAATTTCTTTATATATATATATGTATATGTATATAACATATGTCTGTATATATTTATATATACAAACATAATTCTAAAGAAAGAGGATATTCTGTTAGAACAGTGCTGTCCACGAGTCAGAGACCTACTTGCGCGTCTTTGTCCCTTTCTAAAGAATAATTGCCAAGAGACAAAGAAATCAGAAGGTCTAATGGAAAGTAATTGTATTTATTAATATGTACATGTTGCTGTATCATCAGCCTAGTGGTATTGCCATCCTAATGGACATGGGTAACAGTAGGTAAATGGAAGAAACTTATTTCTATCTTTCGTAGCTTTAGTTTGGACAGCATTGTTTTAGGGGATACAAAAAACCATAGAATGTTCTTCGCGAATAAACAAAAGTGATCGCTTATCACGTTATTAACAGATTCACTGCTGCCTTATATTTGATAATTTACCTCCGTACTGACTGTGTAAAAATAAATTTTAAAAATATCACAGAGTACACTTGCCATAATAAACTTGGCAGTGAATGTGTTAAGGATGACAAGTTATCTAGTCGGAATTGTTCTGTCGTTAATTGTGACCCACGATGGGTGTAAAGATGTATCGGAACGAATATCTTTTTATGGTACGACAATATTGAAATATATTTCAAGCATTGTTGTACGTAACACTTTAACGAAAAAATGTTTTCGATTATTAAGGTATTACTTTTAGGATTCTGACGCAAAAAAAGAAAAAAAAAACAGAAAAGAGAAACGAAGATCTTTTTTGCATTGAATAATGTTCAGATTTGACACGAACATATTGTTGCAAAGGGATATTTTAGAGAAATGGAAGACCAGTATTAACATGTGCAACTAGAAACAAGGGTTGTGTGAGTACTTCGTCGTCATTTTGCTTTCTGTGTTGTTCTCCGTTTTGAATTAATCGAGTAACGCAGACGAATTTGTTTTCTAATTGTGTAAGCCGTTTTACTGCAGAATTACTAGTTCTTACGACCAAAGAGAGGTAACGCTAAAATGGCTTGTTTTTCTTTTTCCTTTGACCATGACAGGACTTTCAAAAGCGGAAAGTAAATCGATAGTATATATGATGCGAATATTTTATTACAATCTTCAGTGAGTGATAGTAAACAAGTGACGTTTGTTAAAAGTACCTTAGAATTAATTATTTTATGAGTCGCCCCTGTTTAAACACGATTTATGGTTTTCCAATGTAGAAAGAAGAAGAAAAGAGCATACACAAATTATTTATATAAGGCAGCGTACAAGACAAACGATTTAAGAAAAAAACGGCGTAAATGATGCTAAGTAATATTTCTGTATTCAGATTCTCTTCTGTAGGTTTCATTAAAGTGCATTTCTTGTATGTTACACAGTATTATGGTAGAATATAAGAGAATAAATACTGCAATAATAAACTGTGTATTTCTCTATTACTTTCCGGAACTTATTTTAGTATTTTGTTCACACCACAAATATATTTATCTTCTTATAAGTTAACGAAGACTAATTTTAATCTTTTCGTACCTACTTTTTAACTAAAATTTGTTTTTTTTTTTGGTTTTTCATTTTTTAAACCTTGATAATTCAAATAAGTGACAAGTCTGCCATGACAGACAGACAATTTAAGATTATCTAATTGTATTTTATATATAGAAGCAATTGTAAATTTATGACTCACGAGCAATATAAATAACTAAAAACAGGAGTACTACCTAAATTTGAATCAAAAAATAGTACATATTTTGTAAAAAAAGTTACTAGTAAAGTATCTTATTTAGTTGGCAATCCTAATTTCGTGTATTTTATATGCGTGTTCTGTTATTTGGTATTATTTTTCCTAATAATTCAATTAAAATAAAGTACATACAGTTTTTTATTGTATGCTATACTAGTTATAAAAGTATTATTCAGTGTCAGTTTTGTTATCGTTAAATGTGATTATATTGCCGTGATTATGACAAGAAACATAACCTATAATGACAATGTAATGTTTTTATATACTCTCACCATAAATGGAAGCGTTATAATATAAAATTAACGAAACTATTTCTGCAAATAGAGTTTTTTTCATTTGTACTTACTGAAATAGATTTAGAGAAAGGAAAGTATTAGTAAACTGAAAAAGTAGGCAAATTTGGAGCAAACATGAAAAGTAGTAAGTGTTATTTTTTTATAATATTGTTTTATTAAACTATCTAAACGTTTTATCACACTATATATGATTTCAAAATGCTGTTAATTTTAATGAAAAATAATGGATAATATCTATTTAATAACACAATTGCTTTAATCAGTTAAAAAATGTGTAATCAGTATCATATAATATACTAATATTGTAGATTCAGATGAGAGTGATTATGAAGATGAAAGTTGTAGCAATCAAGATAATGATGGAAGTACTGGAGAAAAGGAAGTATATCCATCCTTTTCTAACAGCCGGTCATCTACTGAAAGACATGGTAAAAAGAGAAGTCATGTTGATTTAACAGATGAAGCTTCTGATCCAAATGATAGTGATTGCAACGAAGACTACTATGATGAACATTTTGATGAAAAGCATGATAGAAGTATACAGGACAAACATACTGATGATGTACCCTTAAATAGTAATGATGAAACAGAAGAAACTGGAACAATGAGGCCAATATATGAAGATTCTTATCATTATAGTAAAATACAAAATCACAAAGCAAAAAATGAGGCTGATGTAAACATTATTGATAAAGAAAAAGAATATGATACAAGAGGTCAAGTAAGCAAACAAGAACCCAAAAATGACCTTGGTACACAAAACAAAGTTCAACGAATGATGTTAAAAATGGGGTATAAAGAAGGTCATGGTCTTGGAAAAAATAAACAAGGTCGTTTAGAACCAGTACAGGCATTTGAACAACATGGTCGTAGAGGCCTTGGGCTTCATGTTCATGAAATCAAAACTTCAGGACATAAATGGGATCCTGCAGAAGAAGAAATAAAAGTTGTTGAAGATATAAAATGGACAAGGAATCTAAAGGCTAATTTACCAACATCAGAGGAAATGCAACTTTGGTTAAAAAAAGGACCTAAGAAATTAATTGCAGAGGATAAAAGTTATTTTTGTGATGATGATATAGTTAGGGATGTCTCTAGTGCAAAAACAGTACTTGAGGATTTGGATGATGTTGAAATGCGCCGTGCAAGGAAACATAGCAATCCTTATGAAACAATTCGTGGTGCAATTTTCCTAAATCGTGCTGCTGTTAAAATGGCAAATATAGATAAAGCATGTAATTTCATGTTTACTAATCCAAAGAACTTAGCAAACAATGAGCTATTATATTTCGCAGATGTATGTGCTGGACCAGGTGGTTTCAGTGAATATGTTTTATGGAAAAAAAAGTGGCATGCCAAAGGATTTGGCCTTACTTTAAAAAATGATAAGGACTTTAAACTAGATGATTTTTATGCAGGCCCTTGTGAAACATTTCATCCGTATTATGGACCAAAAGAAAATGGTGATGTTTATGATCCCAGTAATCAAGAAGCTTTCAAAGATATCATAATGACACACACTCATGGTAAAGGAGTACATTTTATGATGGCTGATGGAGGATTTTCAGTAGAAGATCAAGAAATGCTGCAGGAGATTCTTTCAAAACAATTGTATCTTTGTCAATGTATAGTAGCATTAATGATTGTAAGAATAAGAGGTCATTTTGTTACAAAGCTATTTGACCTGTTTACACCGTTTAGTGCGGGTTTAGTTTACTTAATGTATCGTTGTTTTGAAGAAGTTTGTATTTTTAAACCAAACTCTTCTCGACCAGCAAATTCAGAACGTTATTTAATATGTAAAAGAAAACGGCCTGGGACGGAAGATGTTCTTCAACATCTGAAGCATGTTAACGAGTTTCTTTTAAAGGACGAGAAAAACGACGTTTTACATTTAGTATCATTAGAAGAATTGGAAGGAGAAAAACAATTTTTACAATATTTACGAGAATCTAACAACTCTTTAGGAAAGAGACAAATAATAGCTCTACGAAAACTTGCTGCATTTTATGAAGATAGTACTCTTGTTGAAGTAAAACAAGCAAAAATGCGCAAAGAATGTCTTAAATATTGGGAAATTCCTGATCAAAGTAGAACAATGCCAAGGCACATGCCACCACATGAGAGATTAAAGCATCTTTTACAAAATACTGACTTTCTTTCTTCTCATCCAACAAAATTGACAAAAAATAACATTGACAGAATAAAAAATCCATATGATTGGTTTTGTATGCCCTGTGGAACGGGACTTTGTAATCAAGACCAGACAAGAGAAGAAAAGCAAAATGCCACATTTTATATGGGTATGGGCAGAAGTCAAGTGTACCGTTATGTAAGAGGCACTTGGGTACTAGTTGATGATATTAAAGTAGAATTACCACCAGATACACTTTTGTACGCGGAAGTTGTATATGAAAGAACAAAGGAATCGAAACATCAGCGAAAAGTATTCGCATTACACATTTTAGATGCAGTCATCCTAGGATCAGAGAATATTAGTCAAATGTACTTAAGGGACAGGTAATAATATGAATTTAAAAAAAATCTAATACTAAGAAATTTTTTTATGTAACTATTTGCATGTCAAACTGATGCATATTTTTTAATAGGCATGAGCTTGCAAAGAAATTTTGTGAAGCATTGTGGAAACCAGTGGCAAGTAATTATGCGCGAATACGTGTCAAAGAATTATTTCCAGTAAGCTTGAATATATGCGAAAGGTTACAAGTAACAAAACGCTTAATGAAAAATAATCATCCCGCTTTGGTATACGAATTTTTAGAAACACCTTTGGAGTGCAATAATTCTGATAATGATAAACCATACTTCATACTAAATAGTGTAATTTTCTTAAAAAGTATTGCGAACTCTTGGAGTCGATTTTTCAGTAAAAGACATTCCATGACATATGTTTATCATTTCCCAACAACAGAGGGAAAGTTCGACGAGCATAGACCACGTTCGGCAGAAGCGAGTTTCTTTGAGTCATTTGAGAATAGTATTATTTGGTATTGGCCTAGCGATGAATCACTTACTATGGAGTACTTTGCAACGTTTATTAAAAAAATTTGTCCTACGCATAATCGGACTGTAGAATATTAAAAACAGGAAATTAAAAGTACGAAATTGATAATTAAGATTTTTAATTACGGTACTAATTTCTATACCAAGTGAATGACAATTGTGATGAAATCATGAATGATTATATTTGTATGAAACTTCTGTATGTGATTATGATAAATGAATTTAATTAATCTTAAAGATAAATGTTTAATCGATACAGTTTGTTTTTAATAAGAACGATTAAGTATTTATTTGTAGCAGCTGCTCCCATGATAGGACAAGTTTCAGTACCTAAATCTACAATCCATTGTTTTCCAACTTCAACATTTGCTTCAGGTTTCTTATAAAGAAATATGTATCTTGTGTGCTCAAGTATAGCTACGTATGAACCATCTAGAATATATATCAGGTTAAAATATTGTACTTAAAATAACTTATATTTCTGCTTTAATTAAATACTTACCAGCAGGAGAAACACAAAATTTTTTATTACTTTTACTTGCTTCAACATAACCAAAACCAGGAAAGGTATAATAATGTTCCATGTTCCATTTAGTGTCATCTACTTTGCCAGTTATCCATAAGCAACCATCATTATCATGTCTGAGACATATTGCTTGGCCAGACTTTGTTTTGTAGGTAAACAATACATGATTACTTGTTCCAAGCATAGCCAAGTGTGTATTTTCCTGTGCAACAAGATCAATTCGTTGCAATAGATTATCTTTTCCTTCAAGATCACATTCTTCAAGTTGTTCTGAATTAAACCCCAAACAAGGTTGTCCTTCTTGTTTACTATCAACTTGATCTGTACACAAATGTGCCAATCTAAACATGAAAGAATAAAATATTAAAAAATAACAAAGTTTCATTTGGTAAACATTCTCCACCAGTGTCACCTTTGATTAGTTCATTCCACATCAAACCACTTTCATGCTTATATAACTCAAGCTTAAATGTATCTTGCTCATATTTCCATGTTGTTAAACTTTCATCTAATCTGTGTTGACATTGCCCTTGTATCAATATATTGTCATTCACTGTCACAGATAATTCCAATGGTGTTACATGTACTTTAACTTTCTCTTGATATTGTTTATCTATTGTAAGCCACACTGTTAATGAATCCTCATCTTGAGACCAGCAATATTTTGGAATTTTTATTTCTCCAGTTTTTTCTATATTTCTTTTATTATCAGCAGGTTTTTGTACTTTTGGAGATTCAAAAGTTACGTAGTCTTGACAAATAGAATGCAAGTATTTACCACAATCTTCTACATATACATATTCAACAGCACCATTTACTTTTAAAACTTCTTTATTAATAAGGTCAAAAGATTCACATGTATTTCCTATATCTTTCCAAACATATGTTAGTAATAAGAGCCTTGTAAATTTTTTTTCAGAATTACTCTTAATATCGCACATTACAATAATAACATTAGACGTACTACTTACATATTGTACATCTAATATAACTCCAGGATCTGTACTATTTAATATGAAAGACTTAATATGTCCTTGAGTATCAGATATCAATAATTTCAAACAATCTCCTCCATCAGAAATTGCAACAATGTTGTTACTAGTAAATCCAATTGATGGATTATACAACAAATTTTGAACATTTTCCTTTGAATCATGAATTAAATGCATTTGTTCTAAATAACCATCCTTGTTAAAACGCCAAACAAACCAGTTTTCATCTATAAACCAGCATGATGTATCATAGGGATTTTTAAACAAATGATTATGGAATGCAAATAATCGTGTTTCCAGAAGAGAATCTCGATTTGTTGTTAATTCTAACCTGCGTACATCTACAAATATTTTACATGTTTTCATTATTTTATTTTATTAAACAACTGTTATTTGTTAATATAATTATATATATATATATACATATATATTATCGAATAACACTTACCTGATTTTAAATCTACTTCGGTATCTATTGGAATTTCATCAGTACAAAATTGATACTTTTCGAATTTTGAATTTGTCAGATCTTTATCAGGTCTTAATTCAACAATTTTCGTCATTTTGTGCTTTTCTAATTTCACTTAAAGCATTATTACTAAAAAATAAGGGAGAGATAAACTTTGTAACCTTAGCACACAGTTTATTGTTGCTAGTTCATACAACACTTTTTAAGGCATAGAATTTATTGTAATAATTTTTGAACTTTCTATTTTGATTGATAACAATATTTATTCGGCTACTTTTCCATTTTAATCACATTTTAGTACAGTATAAATATTAACAAATTCGACCAAGAATTGCGATGTATCGACTATCGATATTACGTCGTACGTGGTCGCAACTTCGACTATCAATAGTCGAAGAAAATGATTTTACATCGAAAATAACGGTCGGTTATAAAATTTGACATAGCTACCGGGTGAAGGAATTTCAAGTAAAATTAAAACGTATAATAAGTGTATATTTAGTGTCGTTTCAACAATTGTGAAGTGTATATGTAGTGCAATGTGAAAGAAAAATAAATTTCACTTTCCTCAATAGTTATGTACGTATTATTAAACTGTACGTGTAAATACAAAGGGGTTATTCATGGGGATTGTAATGTAACAGTATAAACGTATCAGAAATAATTTTATTGTTTTTTTTTTTCAGTAATCACTTCAACTCTGCATAAGTTTCTCTTTCGACTGTTCGCAAGACGAAATGTCAACGAAAATATTATGCTATCAGCCTGCGCTCGGTATGTACGAATATTGTACGACTTATTTTTAAAATAAATTATAGACTTTTGCTTTCGCAAACATAGAAACTATAGTAAAACCTTTAATGAAGGTACATTATCATATAATGTCGCACATTTAAATTCATTTATTTCACACTAACTTTCGAAGCCGATTGCAAGTGCAACAAATATGGCGCGAAATTTGAAATGTTCTTATATGCTTCTAAGAAACAATCAGCTTAATCCAAAGACAATACTGACTCAATGGAGTTTCTGTTTCGTGGTTGATATTTCGCACCACTAAGATAGTTCACTGGACTTCCAAACGTTCTTCGGTTGTCAGCTAAATAGATAGGTCGCAGATTGAAAATGAAAGGCCTCGTTGAATCTAAAAAGTTACACATACAGATACTGAGCATGAGTAATATATTGAAAAAATATATATATAAACATATTAAGGATGATTTAATTCGACGAGGATTGAATTTGGTTGATGGATAGTTGACAAATTTTCTGAAATAAGTTATTTTATTTTATATCTAAGAGAATAATTTTTTTTCTTATCTACTTTAATTGTACACTGTTACATGTTCTTTTTTTTTTACATAAAAATAATAATTATTTTTTTGCCTTCTGATGGTACATCGATAAGATTACCAAAAATAATGTAGGTATTACAGTGTAGATTTTTGTACTTTCAAATTTTCCTACCTTAGGATTATATTTCAATTGTAACAATACATTTTAATGAATGTTTATATGCAGAATATAGGGACAAATCTGACGTCGTGACATCGATAAATTATTTATTATACGAAGTATATCGTTACGAGAGAAATTAAAGTATTACTGACCTGAAGACGAGTCTTCAATTGTCGATCGTTGTTCAATATCATTTAGCGTGATTGCCTAAATAAGATGAAATTTTCTTTTAAATAATTTATAACTTGAGGAATATCGAATAGCAACAAAATATCAGTTTCGTTTCATTTCAAATGAAAAGTAAACTTGAAGAAAACAAAATGAGGACCAATAAAGAAATTATGACTGAAACATCTATTCATTAGAAGAACCTTAATGCAACAGGCAACGAAACGCATTCTATCAGTTCTTTTTCCATTACATCTGTAATTCATGCAATATTGATCGATGCATCTATATATTCAAAATTTTAGCATATCATTTTCCTACTTAATTATTTCATTTTTCAATATTATCCATAATCGAAGATTAGTAAATTTTGTCCATGCAATTGAATATTTTCATTTTATTATCATTTTAATATTATATTTTCTTTTCATAAAAATTGCAGAGAAAGAAATATGTAATTTATTGGACATTCTATTCTAGTATTTTAGATTTTCTCATTTTCTACGATGAAAGCGAGTTAATATATTCAAATTGCAAGTCAAGTGCAGAATAGAAACTAATGATCATCCTTGAGCGAAAGTTGCACAAAAATCATGCAAACAGTATTTCTAAACAAACGTCTGAAAATGCAGCAAAGTAAACATCGTTCAAAATTCGTCTCGTGTTGGATGTAATTCGCGTTCGTAAATTTGCGATTCAGAAAGCAAACGAACAGTCGAAACAGCAGACGATGCAACATAACTTTTGCGATAACCTGTGGTACCTCTAGATTTCGTTCTGCGTTTTCGTGTCGTCTTGTTCGGGATTGTTGTTCAACGACTCAACACTCTCCTCAATATTTATCCTAGATGAATTTTCCGGCTGAAAGTATCAGATTTTCGATTACGTTCGTTTCCATTTCAAACTCTTGAACTTTTCAAATTTTCTCATTCGCGTTCTGTGAAATGATTTCCCTAACTTATCGACAGAGCATGATTCACGAGGGAGATTTTCTTTTTTTGCGGGTATTCCAGGAGTGAGATGTGACAATTATCTTAAGGATTTTTCTTAATGATTATTTTTATTCGTATATAACATAATCAATATTGCATATTTTTATGTATATATATATATGTATAAAGAGGAATTGAGGAACATACATACAAAGCCGACAAAGATGAATAACAAATGTGTGATAATGAGAATAAAGAACATTCGTGTGTTACGTCGAGTATTAATGAGAATATATTGAATTATTTGGTGAAATTCAGTCTGTCCTTGAAATTAAAGATTCTCCCTGAAACACGGCGAAATCGACTCTGATTTCCTGTCTCGACGATTGTTATTCTTTCGAAGTAAAAAAATATGTGTATAAAAAAAGAATGACGTTTCTTTCGTTCCTAATTTTAATTGTATTTCGTTTGAGATCATGTTCGAGTTGGTAAATTCATCGAACGTAAGGCCATCGAATTTCAAGGACAGATATCTATCTATCGAAGGAGTAACATCTCGATGTGTTTCTTACCAACTTCACGAAATCTTTGTCGTCGTTACTTTCTTCGTTAGATTGATTTCTCTCCTCCTCGTCTGGATTCTGTTGTTTCGGTTCCTCTTCTTCTTCTTCTTCCTCGTCTTCCGCACCTGCCTCCTCTTCCTCGCGTTCCTCCAGTTCCGGTTCCTCTTGCAGATCCTCCATCGACTGCGAAAAAAAAAGGAAACGATTCGTTGTAATTTCATTCACGTTTAATATTGTACGCTCTCTTTTTGCATTCCATGTGTAGAGGGTGTTAAAAGAGAAATTGGTCTAAGATTTTACGGATTTGCAGTTCTCAAGCTTATATTATTACAGTTTTTATTGTATTTATAATTGGTCGTTGGTAACACTTTACCGACCGGTAGCGGTTGAACATCCTACGCACTTCCGATCGCTCACTCGGTAACAGATACATATAGTGTTTGCTGCCCCGAGAGGCATTTGGGTTTCCTCAGACATTTGTCTTATACACCCGCGGTAACAGATACAGTAAATTCTCAACAAGAGTCAGTAAGTTTGGATTCTACAAGTGACATTATAGATGGTCCTACGCCTAGGTCTGCGTCATTGCTGCGCCCATGTTATCTCGCTCGCAGTCAGTCAA